GTCCTCTTGCAGAAGATGTTGCTAATGTCGACAAGCTAGATAATACTTTTCAGGAATTTTCTACCTCAGCTGGTGTGGTCATTGAGAGTATGATATTCTAAAAAGTGTTGACAAAGTGACAGATGGAGATGGTACACAAGCACACTCGCCTATGTTGATTGACACCATCACGTTGTTTGAGCTTGTCGATGTCGTCAAGACGGAGCACCTGATTTCGCCAAAAGCAACTACATATGTTCTACGCCCCGTCTTATCTTTCCATCACTTTGCTCCAAGATCCAAGATGGTGAAAGATTCAAAGGGTAGACTACTCCTTTGGTTCAGCATTCTTTCTCCGGTCCTAAATCACGAGTGGGAGCCTCCACCTTGAGGACAAGGTGGATTTTAAAGGGGTGGGAATGATACGGATAGTTTGTTAGAATATTTCAATTAGCTATATAATTATTTAGTAGTTATTTATTATTATTTAGTAATATTCTATAGATTAGGGTTTTTAGTATGGGGCCTAAACCCATTAGGTTAATTAAGGTTTCTCGTATCTCTATATATTGTACTCTCGTATTATTATTATGGAATCAATCAATAATCAAGAATTCTCTTATTCTCTCGTCTCTCTTTTCTTGGAGCTCGGAAACGCTCGAAGTTTTCCTTATATCTTTGCCTTCCCTTTCTTGGAGCCCGAAGACGCTCGAAGTTCTTCCCTATCTGATACGATATTCGTATCATCGTGATCGAATGGCTGCACACACTTCACTACTCAATGACTACTTCAATACTCCATGCGTCTACACACTGGAAGATTTCAGCATTCGTTTTCAGATGAGTTGTTCTCGTTTTTTACGCATACTCGCTGATATCGAATGCAAGGTGCCTTGGTTCACCCAACGCTTTGATGCGAGAAGCCGATGCGGTTTTAGCAGCGTCCAGAAGTGCACTGCCGCGCTTCGTCAGATGGAGTATGGACAACATATGATATGTTCGGTGAATATTTGAAGATATCAGCTCAGAGCATCAGGTCATGTGTTTATAAATTTTCTAAAGTTATTATTTGACTTTATCATAAAAAGTATATACGTAAGCCGAGATCGTGCAAAATTGAGCACTTACAAGCTAGGCATGTTGTTAAACACAGTTTTGTCGACATGCTTGGGAGCATCGATTGCATTCAATGGGAATGAAAAAATTGTCCCACTGCGTAGCATGGTCAGTTCTCCTGGGTGATCATCCCAAGCTCACTATCATGCTCGAAGTTGTGGCTTCTAATGACTTGTGGTCGATTTTGGCATGTTATTTTGGTGTTGCGCACTCAAAAAATGACATATATAATTTTCTTGATCAATCACCTATTTTGACGATTGGATTAGTGAGACTGCACCCAACTCGTCTTATGAGCTCAGTGGGATGCTTTACATGCGTGGATATTATCTTGTGGATGGAATAAATCCAAATTATTTCATAGTTGTCAAGTCTCTCTCTCCGAACTAATGAATCTTAAACGTCAGATCTAAAAAAAAAAGCTCATGAGGCGGCGAGAAAAGATATCCAACGAGCCTTCGGGGTGTTGAAGGGCAAGTGACACATTCTAGATCGTCTGTTCAAATGTTATTCTCAAACGAAAATGAGGAATGTCATGTATGCATGTATTATTCTTCATAATATGACCATAGAGTCTAACAAATTTGCAATTTCTCATTACAAACCGGACGAGAAGGTGCATACGTACGAAGAAATCGATGAAGAAAAGAAATGAAGAAACCGCCATGAAATTCGAAGCCGAGCGATTCACAATGCAATAACAGCATATTAGATTGAAGATACTTTTAGTTGCTCGAATAATCACTAGTTTCTTCGTAATATAATGTAATTTTTATTTTTTATTTATGTTGTTATTCAAATCTTATTTTTTAATGAAATTTTTTTAATTGAATTTTATTTTTGTGTTAAATGAATTATTTTCGTTTAAATTAAATTAAATAATAAAATGTTATTAATTTAATTTTATAAGATGTGTATTCAAAAATATAAAAAAATAGAGATTTGAAGCCCCACTTTAAAGCTCTGAGGCTTCAAACCAATTTCCAGTAAAATTTTGTTGTAAAAGCTAACATGATATAAAGAGAAGTTCTGAAGCCCTAGGGTTTCACGAGTATTGTTAGTGCTCTTATACTTACTTCTCTATCAATTTTGTTTACAATCTTTTTTTCTTTCACCCATCGATAACTTTTGTTTGTTTATTCATTTTCATTGATTATTTAATAAAATAAAATATTCTTGTCACCTTTTATTTTGTAGAACTTTTGACTTAGTTTTTTAATATGTACTCCGTAATTTTTATTTTTTTATTGATGTAACAATTCATAAATAAAATAATTTTAAAAGATACAGGGTTTTACCTTATAAATCTCAATTTGTAATCAAATTTGGAACGGAGGGAGTAACAAATATTGTCTCCTTCTAAAAGATTGTTACAGTTTGACTTTTTAGTCAAACTGTGTCACCATATATGTAACCGCGAATTATGGAAAATGTATATTTAGTTATAAAGTAAATTTAATAAATTTGGATTTATTTTAAAATATAGCGTTGAGATATCTAATTTGTATAATATTTAATTATTTTAAACTATATTTGATTTGTGGTCATAGATTACCATAATTTGACCCAAAAAGGTCAAACTGTGGCAATCTTATATGGACGGAGAGAGTACTTCTATAATCTTGAAATTCACATATGAAATATTTTCACACTTTTTATACGTCGACATGAGGATCGTTTCTCTTTTTTTTTTTTTGTAAAAAGCTCAATTTTTCGCTGATATTTATATACCAAGGTTCATTAATATGTATGGACCAAGAACCACATGTCCACATGAAAGTTTTTCATCACGTAGTTACTTCTTTTGTTTTTTTATTTCTTTTGTATTATTTAATTTCCACTTTAATTTTAACGTAATTTAAGAAAAATAACAAATAATTTAAAATATATTATTAAAATTTATATATATGAGAGAAAAATTAAAATAGAAGAAAAACGTAATGAAAGAACCAAAATAGAAACCTTCATTTTCATATCTACAAAAATATAAAATACTCGAGTATCAAAAATGTTAACATATATTTCGTAATACGAAAAAATACTATGAAATGCGAGTATAAACATTATAATCTTATATTGAACAAACACTTAACAACCTAGAAGTACTATTTATTAACGATGAAAATATATTAAAAACCATAAAAAATCAATGAAGAAAATATATTGGGAGGGAAGAATTGCAATGCTATAATAACTTGGGCTTTGAATATGGACCAGACGCGCAATGTGGAATAACAGCTTAGATGACTTTTGCTTGGAGTGGCCTTTTATTGAACTTAGTGGGCTGCTCTGTTCAATTATCCATTTGTCTGGACTACACTTTGAAGGGAAGTTAGTCATTATTGGGAAACTATCGTTTGGCCCAAACATATTCCCCCATCTAATCCTTTGTTTGGGTGTATGAAAAAAAGATAGGAAAAAAAAAATTGGAGGTGAGAAAATATAAACAACAGATTTTCTTTTATTGGAATGGAAATGAAGAGAAAATAAAAAAAATTAATCTGGCTCACCTAAAAACTTTTCTCACCTCCGATGATATGAAAACGCATGAATCGGTCCACTGCCCCCATCTGTTCTCTATTTTTTTTTTCTTAAAACCTTTTTTTCTCGATTTCTCATATTTTCTCATTTTTTTTCTCGATTTCTCATATTTTCTCATTTTTTTTTGCATCATTTTTATGTGCATCCAAACAATAAGACTTTTCTTTCCATTTTCACTTCATTTTCTTAGCTCACCATTTTTTTACTACCATTTTATTTCATCTCATTTTCTCTTCTAATTCAAATAGATAGTAATGTGTTTATCTAATTTTCAATTTTAAGAAACTGAGTATATTTTTCATTTATATTAATAAAATAAATAAATTTATGAAAATATATTACAAGATAAATTTAATTAACTTATTCTTGTATTAATATATACAAAGTAATACGGAGTATATTCTAAACTTCTCCCCTAACTTGAGTGATAGGAAGCCCACTCACCAAGCTAAATTCATGAGAAAGTTCACTCATGTTTGAGCCTCAGCGGAAGCAGAATCATTGACTCTTTATGCGTCATTTAGTTTCAAAAACTTTGAATATATACTACATTATAATATAGTCAATAACATTCAAAAAAATATAATACAATGTTTATTTAATTATACTGAGGGGAAGTGTAAGAGTCCATCCCACATCAAAAGTTGAATTGAAAAATAATCGGTATGTGAGCTCTTGAGTTAAATTAAATAATCGATTAGATTCAATATTTTAATATGGTTCAGTTTAAGTATTTTAATGCCTAATTCAGTGATATCTACCCCATTCTAAAATTCTATGACCAACTTTCTGAAAAACTTCGATGACTCTATATTCAATCGACACCACTGATTTTTTTATAAAAAGTATTAGGTATTGACAACAATTTTTATATAACTAATAATAATACTTTCTACTGCATAATTTATTATTTTGAATTATTTGAATGTTTGAAGAAAATTTATTAATCCGTAGTTTTTTGTTGTTTCTTATTGTGTTTAAAGAGAATTAGTTATCAACCACTACAATGTGTATTAACTTCAATATATTCTATTGCTATAATTTTTTTTTATCATTTTTATAATTAAAAATAATGTCATTTAATTATGTTATTTTAATTACTTATTAAACGTTAAAGATAAAATTTATTATTAGTTTGATATTTTTTGTTATTCCTTATTGCATTTGTAAAAGAAATCTGGACTGCCACATCAATAACATACTCTCGTCACATTCTCACATAATCCGCCTGAGAAGTTCTGACCCCTTTACTCTTGACACCACTCATTTGAGAGTCTGGGTCTGCCAATGTCTATATGTATATGAATGATCAAATATTATGTTGGAAAAATATAAAAAATTAAAAAGAAGAATAATGATTAATAAACCAAAATAATTGATGGAATAAAAATTAGGCAGGTTGCTGTAATCTTCTTCTCACAATGAAGGGAAACCATGTTCCGCCATCGCCATCTTCTCCGAGCCCACAGTCTCACTAACTGCACACTTTAATTCCATTCCTCTTTAATCATTATTATTAATATTATTCCCCACACTTATCTTCTCAACCAATTCCACGAACCCAAAATTCTCCGACCAAACAAAATGATCCAATCATCTTCTCAGACGGTGCCCGGAGAAGAAAACAGCCGGACCGTAATCTTCGGGAAGTACGAGATGGGGAAGGTGTTAGGCCACGGGACGTTCGCCAAGGTGTACCTCGCCAGAAACCTCGAAACCTCCGAGCAGGTGGCGGTCAAGGTTGTCCGGAAAGACCATGTGGCGAAACAGGGGATGGCGGAGCAGATACAGAGGGAAATCGCCGTGATGCGGCTGGCGAGGCACCGGAACGTGGTGGAGCTCCGGGAGGTGATGGCGACGAAGCGGAAGATCTTCTTCGTCATGGAGTACGTCCGGGGCGGGGAGCTTCTGGCGAGGGTCGCGGCGGAGGGGAGGCTGGGTGAGGAGGAGGCGCGGCGGTACTTCCGGCAGCTCGTCGGCGCCGTGGAGTTCTGTCACGGCCGCGGGATATTTCACCGGGATTTGAAGCTGGAGAATCTGTTGCTGGATGAGGATGGGGAACTGAAGGTTTCCGATTTCGGGCTGTCCGCCTTGCCGGAGCAGCAGAGGCACGACGGCCTTCTGCACACCCGCTGTGGCACTCCGGCGTATGTCGCGCCGGAAGTCTTGAGGAAAAAAGGGTACTAATCATTCTCTTCTGATCTTAATTAAGAGACCAATTCTAAGTTAAAACCATTTACAAAATTCTCCCAAAACAATTCAAGAGTCTTACCTCTCAATCTCTCTTCCTTCTAAATTGCTAATTAGATATAGTGTGAGGGGCCAATAGAATAATATGGTTGAACAAATGTTCATTACCATAATACTCCATATAATATTCATGTTTTTTAGAGAAAAAAATGTTAAGCAAATTAAACCGTTTTAGCTTATTTTGATCTATTATTTCTGAATACGACCAGTCATATCTACTCTAATGTTTGGCAATTGAAAGTTTAAAAATGTCCTACTTTTGAAAAAAATTACCTATTACACAATTCAAGTAAAAAAGAATATTACTCCGTATTAAATAGTCATTGAAATAATTAATTATTATCCAATACTTGTTGCTAATTAATGACTACAATCATTCGTATAATCAGTCATTATCTATCATTTGTTATCAATGAGGGCATATATGACAGGTCATATACAATTATGTACTCCGTATCACAAAGAGAGTAAAACACATTGATAATGAGAATATATACAATTATGTACTCCAACACTCATTGATAATGAGAATATATATGACAGATCATATGAAATTATGTATCATAAAAAAATAAAATATATTTAGTCATTTTCAAGAAAACGTACTACCTTTTATATTCTTATACTATGTATGAAATAAATTTTTCATTGTGTTTTATTGGGTGGCCTTAACCTAATCATCCATTCTTTCCTACAAATATCTAATCATTTGTATCAATCATACAAAAAAAAAAAGATAAAATAAAAATAAAAATAAAAAAACTCAAATTTTCGACTGGAATTTAAAATGAATTACTCCATAGAAACTTAAAGTGTTCAAATTCTTCAATTCCCCAAACCTTTTTATCTAATGTACGTATGGTTCTTGCTTAACAGTTACGACGGAGCAAAAGCCGATGTTTGGTCGTGCGGCGTTATTCTCTACGCTATTCTCGCCGGATTCCTTCCCTTCCGGGAACACAACGTCGTCTACATGTACACCAAGCTCCTCAAAGCAGAGTACACTTTCCCGCCATGGATTTCCCCTGCAGCTCGGAGTTTGATTTCCAAGATCCTAGTCGCCGATCCCGAGAAAAGAATCTCGATCCCGGCCATAAAGAAATCCCCCTGGTTCCTCGCTGGCGAAACGCCGGCGCCGATCCCCGCCTCAATTCCGGGAACCTCCGGCGACGGCGGGATCATGGGTACTCCTCCGTTCTTCAACGCGTTCGAGCTGATATCGTCGATGGCGTCTGGGTTTGACCTGTCGAGCCTGTTCGGCGGCGGTCGGAGTCCGGGGTCTCTGTTCACGTCGCGGCTCTCCGCTCCGGCGGTGGTGGAGAGGCTGGTGGCGGCGTTCGAGGACTTGGATTTCAGAGTTGTGTGCTCGAAGGAGTACAGAGTGAGGATGCAGAGGAGCTCCGGTGGCCGGGCGGCGGGATTGACCGTGACCGCGGAGGTGTTTGAGGTAGCGCCGGATCTAACGGTGGTGGAATTCTCCCTGACCGCCGGCGACGCGTCGGAGTATAAGAAGTTTTGTGAGGAGGATGCACGGCGCGCACTTAACGGCGTTATTTGGACATGGCAAGGTGAAGAGGTTAATAGCAACTGTCAACGGTAACTGTATAACGGTTTTTTTTTCTTTTCTACTTTTTGTTGTTGTAATTAATTTTTAAAAAATCCAAATCTAAAATTGTGAGAATAGAAAATGGGGTTTGTTTGTACTTCTCTATTGTCTTATGCCCATTGATTGAAAGTATTTTGGATAGCATTGGAGGAGACAATAAGTGTAAATGTCCCCATCCCAAACATTGTTGAAATTAAGTTGTCTCTAATCCCTAATTATTTATCACACTTGTATTCTCAAGGTAAAATATTAAGTTTTTTAATTCATTTTATTTACATATTTATATAGAAATAAAAAATGAAATTTACATATCAAAAAACTACATGAAAAGTTCTTTGAAATAAGAGATGTCAAGAATATTTTATTTTATCAAATAATCAATGAAAATGTAGAAATATACAAAAGTTCCCGTGACTGTTGAAAAAACAAGTGTGACAAATATTTTGGGACGAATCGAGTACTCCATTCCTCCCAAAATAATTTAACTTGAAGAACTATAGCTTTTGTTTGTTGGCGAAATAGCTCTGGTGCCCCCCGTGGTTTAGAAAATTAGCACCAATACCAAAGTCCCCGTGGTTTCAAAATGTTGCACCCACACCCCCTCTGATAATTTTCCGGCCATTTTCCGGCGAAGAGAGGGGGCATTGGCGCTTCCGGCGAAGAGGGGGGCATTGTCGCATAATTTCTAAAACATAAGGGGCATTCGTGCTCATTTCTTATTTTTGTTTATTATTTGTGTTTTGCCTTTTTTTTAAAATATTTTCTATCTCTTTTTTTTCCTAGAATTTTTTTTAAAAATATATTTTCAATTTTTTAAAATGTTTTAAAAATTTTAAAATTCTTTGGGTTTGAAATAAAAATAAAAATAACAAAATTAACATACATTACATATAAAATTAACATAATTAACATACAAAATTAACATAATATTTTGGAAAGTTAAAAAAAACCCAGAATAAAAAAATAAAAATATGAAAAAATGGAATGAAAAAATTAAAATACACAAAAAAAGTCTTATACAAAAAACAAATTAGACACGCCTAAAAAGTCCTTAAAATTGAGATGTCCAAAAAGGATATTCATTTTTGTTTTTATATAATTTTTTTCTTATTTTATTCATCATTTTTTTAAAGTTCTAAAAAAACATTTACTTTTTCAGAAAAACAAAAATCGTTAATTGGAGACGTACATATGCATTATATGTTAATTTTTTCAAACAAAAATAACTTTATATTTTAAGAACATTATAAAAATAATTTTAAAAAACTTTTATTAATAAATGAAACAAAAAATGGAAAAAAATGAAAAAAACAAAAAATACGCGAGAAATAAAAATCAGCACTGATACCCCTTATGGTTTAAAAAATATGCACCAATGCCCCCCTTCTTCGGCGGAAAAATGGTTGGAAAATGATCAGAGGGGGCACGGGTGCAGCATTTTGAAACCACAGGGACTTTAGAAATAAGTTTTGAGAACATATGGGGTATTGGTGTCTATTTTGCAAACCACGAGGGGTACTGGCGCTATTTGGCCTTTGTTTGTTTATTTTTATGTTTAATTGGTAGATTAAATTATCCTTGTCATTTTTTATATAATTTTTAATATGTAAATTTTATTCTTTATTTGTTCCCAATTCGTAAATAAAATTATTTTAAAAATTAAAAGATTTGGCACCTTGTTGGAATAAGTAATGTTTTCTCCGTGTCAGAGTATTTGTCTACTATTGATTTCTTTTAGCCAAAATTGGTAAATTTTGACATCAAATTAAATAACAATGATATTAGCTATTGATACAATAATAGTTTTATTAGATATTTTGAATAAAATATTTTTAAATGTTATTTTATCTAATTAATATGCAATATTTATTTTATTTAATTGTAGGTCAAAGGTTGAAAACGGTTGATTGGAAAAAATCAAAATTGGACAAATACTCTAGGACGAAGGTAGTACTCTTTTGGAACGAAGAAAGTATATACTTCATCCGTCCCCTTTCACAACCACGGCGAAGAAGAAGACTTAGAAGAAAATAAATATCAAACAAACATTTCACAATCTTTGACATCCACTCTTCGGGCTTTGAAGACTTAGAAGAAGAAGAAGAAGAAGAAGAAGAAGAAGAAGAAGAAGAAGAAGAAGAAGAAGAAGAAGAAGAAGAAGAAGAAGAAGAAGAAGAAGAAGAAGAAGAAGAAGAAGAAGAAGAAGAAGAAGAAGAAGAAGAAGAAGAAGAAGAAGAAGAAGAAGAAGAAGAAGAAGAAGAAAGGGGGTGAAAGAAGAAGAAAAAGAAGGGAGTGAGAGGGGGAAGAAGGAAAAAAAAAGAAATGGGGTCAAATTGAAAATTTTAAAATATATAAATTTCTAATTTAGCCCAAATGCCCGGAAGTTAACCTGGAAACGGGTAAATGGACTTTTAGTGAAAGGGTTTTGTAAGTTTAGGTACTTTTGTGAAAGGATTAAAAGTGCAAGTACCACTTCAAAATTTCAGTGAAAGTTCAGGTATCATTACTGAAATTTACCCTGAATATATTGGTATCCACCAATGTGTATACTTTCTCCGTCCTTATATAAAGTACACTATTCATTTAACGTGTAACATTTCGTGAATTTTAAAATGATTTTGTATACAACTTGGTATAGAAAGAAGAGTTGAAATTTGCACTGAATAGGACTAAAACATAAGTCATTTTCCAATGTAGGACTTAAACTTTTTTATTCCCTAAATAGAACTTAATAATGACTAGTGAGAAAAATAATGTCTAAGTGATGTTGGACATTTAGTTGAATAATGACTAATAGATAATAACCAATGGTCCTACATTGAGAAATAAAAATATGGGGTCTTATATTGAGAAAATCATTATGTTTTAGTCCTATTTAGTTAGAATATATATATGAGTAATTTACCTAAATAAGACTAAAACATAATGACTTTCCCAATATAAGACCATATGTTTTTATTTCCTAATGTAGGACCTTTGGTCATTATTCAAGTAAATGTTCATCATTACTAGACATTATTCCTCCCACTAAGACATTATTAAGTCCTATTTAGAGAATAAAAAAGTTTAAGTCCTAGATTAGGAAAGTCATTATATTTTTGTCTTATTTAGTGCAAATTTCACTAGAAAGAAATAAAGTTCTCATTTACTATTCATAGGGTCAAACTTTATTTACATTGTTGGCCTATTTTTGTGTCTTATTTGATAAAATAATATATTCATGTCACCTCTAATTTGTAGATCTTTTCATGTAATTTTTAAACATGTAATTTCTATTTTTAAATTTCATACGGTTTTTCATATAAAATGATTTGAAAATAAGTTCAATCAAACATCGTAACGCACAACGAAAACTTTATTTATGGAAGGAGGGACTATAACCCAGAACAACAAGGCCGGTCCCGAAAAATGAAAAAATAAAATTGGTCTGGTCCAAAATTTACATTTTGGGCCATATTTTATTTTTTTTGGAATAATTTTGCTTTAAAATTATTAACAAATTTAAAAATATGATACCCTTAAATTTTAGGGGTCTTGTATGGTTGAACACTTTGCACACCTTCCGAGCCACTCATGCAATACACGACTCCCAACACATCCCGTCACTGAGTAACAACTAAATTTTCATTGAGTAACAACTAAATTTAAACGCGGTTAATGATTTTCAATGGACAATCATGTGATGTACTCTGGGGTACTTTATTGGAGCCTATTGTATTTATTCCTTGTTTCTCATTTGAATTTTAACCATCACTAATGAAATACTTTGATCATTAATATCTCAATTTTGATATAAATATAGAATTTAGAAAAAATGTTTCGAAACAACGATTCAAAATAAGCCCATTGATGCTAAGTTTATATCACAATTTAATACGGAGTATATTTTTTCGTAATTTATGGTCAAAATTTTAAAACGTTAATCATAAAAATCAAAACAAAAAGAAAGACATGAGACAGTAAATATATGTCTGCTGGCATTTCTTAAAAATGAAAAAGGTAATTTCAAAAAAAATGAAAAAGGTTCAATTTCATCTTAGTTGAAGTGGATATGGCATGATTGATTCATATGGTTGTGGGGGAGTTATGTTATCTTTATCTGAAAATTATAATAATACAAGCATTAGTGGCAAACCTCCAATGGTGGTTATGCAGTCAAGATCAAGAAGATGCTTATAAGTTACAATAATCTGGTATGATTTGGTACCATTTGGTACCATGGAGTTTAGCTAATTTAAAAAAAACTCTTATTCATCAATGTTGTGAACTCAAAGAGAAAAAAGAAAATGTAAAGTTAGTTTTTTAATGTTAAAAAAGGTATATAGTTCATTCAAAAAGGGGGAGAAAATATACGGAGTATTAAAAAAAGACAACTGAAAAAATTCTTTTGAAAATTTTAATATCTCAAAAGTTTATCCTGACACAAAATGTAAGTACAACACTGACATGATGCAAGTGTTTGCACTTATACATTTCATGTCAGGAGAAACAAAAGTGGGATACAAATAGAATTTTCCAAATTTAATAGTTAGAGCATCATGAGAAATAGTCTATGTGACAAAGGAGAATGGTTAAAAAGGAGTCTGACTCCAAAGTCAAAATCAACTTGTGGGGTACAATTAACGGGGACAAGGGGTGTGTTTGGGTCAGGGCGGGTGGGGGGTTTATCGGGGGATTAAGGAGGGTAGGAACCGTCATTTTTTCGAACGGGACACCGAAACTATAACTTTATATCAAAATTCAAAAAAAAAATTCATAATTTATAGTCTCACTTTAAAAATATTAATTACGAAAATAAAAAATTAGCATGAGTAGATCCGATTCTAAAGTCTCAAGGGCCTGCGTTATTTAAACAAATGGGCCCAATATTTTATATGGACGCCCAGCGCTACATGAAATTCTCCGTAGTTTAGTTTTAAAGCAAAAGATCAATAAAATACAACAAAAAATCACTAGTATTGTGTTAAAGAAAATTACTAGTATTATTTTTATATTAAGAAAAATTATAGAAAAAAACAACATTTGGAGCATTGAGCATCACCAAACATACACTTATATTTTTGGTTGTATATAAAGTAATCTAATCAGAAATTATGAAGTTATGGTTCAAATTAGTATTGTGAGCAACATTATAACTTTGAGATTATTTACTCAATATGTGAACAAAAATGAAACATGTGAAGAAGTGTTATAATTTCATTCAATAAATCT